GTTTGTTCCGCTTCTGACGCTAACGATACGCCGTTCTTTTCAGGTTCTACCTTCACTTTGCATTGAAATGATCTATGACCCATTTGGTTGCATTTAAAACATTTTATACTTCTACTTGGACAGTGTTTTGCAAAATGTGAATCTTCACCACACGAATAGCATTTTTTTATACTGTTTGAATTCGACCGTTCCTTGCTTGATGGCACTGGCGCGGTTTTGTTCTCATTGGTAAATGGTACTTCGTGTTCGGTGCTTTAATTTTTTCATAAGTTTTAATTTGTTCTTTCAAGTCTCTGAGGCGTGATATAGTACAGCTTTATTCATTCTTGAATCAGGCATTCCTTCGATAAAATATTCAATTATACTTGCTTCATCTAACTTTGTGGCCTTCCCAATTTCCATCAAGCTGTAAAGGTATTCAAGCAATTTTTCATCATGTCGCTTTCGTCGGTTACTCAGCGCACGATGAACATCAATTGCAGACATTTGTACAGCAAATTCATTCTTCAGCGTCTCTTTTAGCATTTTCCAATTGTTTACATTACGTTGATTGCGGATAAATAATTTTGCAGTTCCTTTTAACAACTGCTTTGCGTAAATGAATTTCTGCACATCGTTCCATTCTACAGCTGCGGCGTTTTCCTCAAAATCTTCTACACATTGCTCGAACGTAGGTTGATCTGATCCCGAGAATGAAGTCAAGGAATCTTCAACGTCACGCAGAGTAAATGTAGACCGAGCTGCAACAGACGCACGCTGAGTTACGGTTTGTATGCTTGCAACTTCGTCATCGTCGACATCGTCATTTTTTACATTTACCTCATAATGTTCTATAAGACGGCTTTGTAATTCTGATTTCTTTCCAGCAGTAGATAGTTCCAACTCGGACAATTTAGTTTTCAATTGCTCCACACTAAAATTTCTGACGCCATGCTCATCCATTTTTTTTCCTGTTGCTTTATTGTAGTTTTGTTGTACCAAAAAAAAAAAACCAACACTTAATTTCACAATGTTGTGCGCTTTGATTTTCACGTGCTTTTTCGATCACCGCGATCCCGGTTGAGCCTCCAAATGTAAGAAAAATTTATTAATATAATGATAAATAAATTTTATTAATATTTTTTTACAATATTTTAAAATCGACGCTCAACCCTTTTTACGCCAGTCCACAGTACTCGCTCTCTCCAACTCACTACAATCAAAAACTAGCAGCCATGTCAGTTTTTTGGTTTATTCATTTAACTGCCCGTCGCCAATTGCCACATATATGCGCAAGAGTGAGGGTGATGCCATGCAGCAATATATTGCAAGTTTTGAAAAGGTCATTGAACAACTTTCGGAAGTTGGCCTTGAATTGCAGGAAGAGTTGTTTGTTATAATGATTTTAGCAAGTTTGCCAATAGGTTACGAAAACTTTGTTGTTGCCTTAGAAACACAAGATTAGTTTTCAAAGTTTCAAAACAAAATTATTTGAAAAAAGAAACGGCGAAAATATAACGATATAGTTGAATGAGACGGTACTGTACAAGTATTAGTTTCTAAATCAGGCTATAAATATTACAAGATATATTACAACAACGAGGACACAAAAAGAAGAATAGGAGGTAAAAAATAAAAGACTTTTAGAAAAAATAGTAATTTTAAATGTGACAAATGAAGAAAAAGAAAGGCCATTTTACTGCAGAATGCAAATCAAGAAAAACTTGTGTTAAGAGAAATGAAAAAATTTCTTAAGAGTATTCAAAATTTCTGTGCTTGGAGTTAGCGAAAACACGGCACCTGATAAAAAAAAGTATAGTGGCGCAACTTCTCATTTGTCCACAACTTCCCATTTGAAGCTTTAGAGCAGTGTAGTAAAAAAATAATGCTTGCAGGCAATAAATTTCTCAAAGCTATTAGAGGTGGTAACGTGAGAATAAGAAGTCCAATGGGTGAGCTTTGAAGTTTGTTTCCGTGTGAAACCGTGTTACAAGCAAAACAAATAAATCGATTATTATCCTGTCAAATATACAACAAAACAATCGACTTAAAAACGCAATTATTTTTTAATAATAATGTAAATGAAGATGTAGTTCAGTGGCATAGACGTTACGGGCACTTAAATATTATTAGTTCAATCGAATTAAAAAATAAACAACTAGTGCTGGGCTTAAAATTTGATATAGATCAAAAACATATACACTGCACAGTGTGTCTTAAATGCAAATGCAATATTAAGCCGTTTCAATTGTCTCAAAGTAAAACAAAAAAATATCTTAGATTTAGTCCATAGTGATGTTTGTGGACAAATAAATGTTAATTCAATCGGAGGATTCAGATAGCTTATAACTTTTGTAGACAACAACTCGCAATATATTTTTATTAATTTTATAAAACAAAAATCAGAAGTTAAAAATGTTTTTGATTTAAGAGCTTGGTTGAATGACAAACAGGTAAAACACTCAAAATGTTACATAGTAATAAAGGCAGACGTAAATACAGAATTTAATAATTACTTTAATAAAAATGGTATTCTTAGACAATTGACTGTGCCTGATACTCCACAACAGAATGGCGTTGCTGAAAGAGTCAACAGAGCTTTTTTAGAGATGGCACGCAGTATCTTAAATGCAGGGGTCGACGAGAAGTTTTCGGGTGAAGTGATTAACACTGTAATATTGATCTTCTACCCTTATTAAGTGCAAGTAATCTTAACCGCTATATCTGAAGACTATACTGGTACAACAGCTGGTTATAACTTAAGACCAATGCCACAATGTGACTTAGTAGCTCTAGACAAAACGCCAACTGATATAGTACTCCCAGAAACAGTTTTTGAAGCTCTACAGAGCGAGCAGTCCACTTACTGAAGACTCGCTATGCTAGAGGAGTATGATATATTGGAGAAAATTAATACATGGGACGCAGTGAAACTACCAACAGGGCAAAAAGCTACCGGCTATAAATGGGTTTTTGCAGCGAAATTCTATGCAAATGGAAATATCGACAGTTGTGTAGTCAAAAATACGGTGTCAATTATACTGAAAAAGTTTCACTGGTAGTGCGACATGAAAACATAAGAATGATTTTAACTATAGCAGCAGAATATGAACTTCATGTTCATCACCTTGACATTTCATTAGCATATTTGAATGTTAACCTCGCAGAAACAGTTTTTATGGAGCAATCGAAGTTATTCGAGAAAGAAGACAATAAAGTATTTCAGCTTGAAAAAAAAACAGACTCTAAGCAGCACAGAAGCTGAGTTTATGGTTTTCTGCGGCAGCCAAAGAGTCTATATATTTAAAAAAAACTTTGGACAGAACTAATAGGATTTAATAAAAGCGGAACAATTATGATAAATAGAGACAGTATGAGTGCAATGAATTTAATAAAAATCCTATATATCATGCTCGCAATAAGCACATAGATATAAAATATCACTTTATTCGTAAGGCATATAGTAATAAAAAAATTTATATAAAATACTATCCAACTGATATAATTAAAAACATAGAAATATAAAGACATGTAATTTGCCTCCGTTAAAAAAATCATGAATTCTAAAAAGGTGCACACAATGAGATAAATATGTCTGTTCAAACGTCCAACAATCCAACTTATTATTTTATGTATGATCAATGCTATTTTATTAGTGAAGTCAGCAATCAAACCAATAGCGAACATAACATATATTGCTTGGAATAAACCATAAAGAAAAAACTCTAATATCAGTGCAAATGCAAATATACACTTTTTCTACTCTTCTTTGTTATCGCACTTTTCCTAAATATCATTGTTTACATGGGTAGGTGAGACAATATTTTTGAATGTGGTGCATAGACATTGTTGTTGTGCTTTATTTTTTTTTTAATTTATGACTGGCTTTGTGTGTACGAAATGCACAAGTTCCTACAAATTATATTAAATTTGTCTTAGATGAAATTTTATACTGGCTTTATACAAAATTATGATGTTTTGCCTATTATATGATAAGAAAGCACCGGAGAAACGCAACCGCAGTTGATGTTAGTGTATCTATTAATATGATTGCTTGTGAAGACAGTGCTATGTCCTACAGCAGCAATGGTTTGATGAAGAATATTACTAAACACCATATTATGTAATAATAATTAATTATGTTTCATATTTTAGGTTTTTATTATTATTTTATTATACCAAATAAAAATTAATTATTAACTAAATTTTATTACCTTAATTATATAAAACAGAATTATAAACTTAATATAACTTAATTATATAATATAGAACTATTAACTAAATTTAATTACATAATACTTAGAGTTACTTAGAATAAATCTTTTAATTAAGTTTATAATTGTATTTTTTACGATTTAAGTAATAACATTTAGGTAATGATTTAATACGATTTTATATGATATATTAAAAATAATAAAAATTTGAAATATAAAACATAATTAATTATAAATAAATAATTGAATAACATGGTGTTTATTAAAACACTTCATGATATATTGCTGTGCACAAAAATGCACAGGACCACGCAAAATTGTTGTAAGAATCTAACTAAAATTTACTATTCTACTATTTTATTTTTTAAATAAAAAGACCCCTCATTCTCAGCTCAAAATCCTGAAAATCCCTGCAGTACGACAAGTTAAGGTATTCCTTCACAGAGCAGGTTACAAGAGCACTTAGCGTGCTTTCACTCCGATTGTGTACTAAGTATTTCGTCCGCTCTAACAATATTTATTGTTCTAGAGATTATGCTCTTGTAAAAGCTCCATTCTTCGATGCTTGCTAACATCTGCATTACCATAGTAGAAGGGCTGGATTCACCATTTAGTGTCTCTAGATTTTGTCTAGTATCTACGAATCTTATACAGTCTCTAATTATGTGGTCAGAACTTTCAATTTTATCTGGACAAAACTGGCAGTACGGGTTACTTGCTAGCCTAAACCAGTATAAGTATTCACGGAAGCAACCATGCCCCGTAAGAAACTGTGTTAATTGAAATCCCAAGTCTCCAGATCCTCGGTTAATCCAAACTCCTATATTTGGAATTATATTGGGAATGGTCACACCTATGTTGCCATTCATTAAGGAATTTGTTTCTTACATCTAAATAAGACTCTGCCAGAGATTTCCCAGTTTCAGTAGTTCGCCGATGAGAGCACTGGAAGAAACTGTCTCTGGCCAAGAACGCTTCAAAGTCTATTGGCATGCGTCCAGCCAATACTCCCGCAGCATCGTCCGATACTGTACGGTAAGCACGGCAGATGCGTAGGTTTGACAATCTATGTGCACTTTTCATTACACGTGAATACGACTTAATGGTTGGAGCATGCGCCCACACCGGAGCAGCATAAAGCATCACCGACTTGGAAACTGATGCTAAAAGAACTCTAGCAGTGTCCGTGGGACCTCCTATGTTTGGCATTAATCGGGATAGTGTGTTGCAGACACGTAATGCTTTATCTCCCGATTGTTTTAGGTGAGTTACACCAAGATGTGTAAGTTGGGGCTAGATTGTATATCTACTCCACCCACTTTAATTGAGAGTTGTTCAATCTTTTTCCTACTGCTGATTAATAGCACCTCAGTTTTATGCTCAGCAAGCTCTAATCCGCTGTATTGCAGCCACGATTTAATTGCTCCAATAGTAGCGCTGCAATTCCTAGCCACTTCGTCTAGAGTTTTTGCAACCACTACTATTGCAATATCATCTGAAGGATGATACCATCGTACATGATATTCCATAGAATTGGCCCTAGAACTGATCCCTGGGGGACCCCTCCCGTAATCCTATATGTTTTGGGCCCGGATTTTGTATTATATGGTATAAGAGTAATCTGTCTTTAAAATATGATGTTATAATTTTCAAAATATATTCTTGGACTCTCATTTTCATCAGTGCATTTAAGATGCTACTCCACTTAGCAGTGTTGAAAGCATTTTTAACATCTAAGGTCACTACCGCGTAGTACTTTTAGTACCACCTAGCCACCTTATGCCCTTAGTAGCTTCCTTTGCAATGTTGCATACATGTAGTACAGCATCAACAGTACAGCGTTTAGGTCTAAAGCCAAATTGGTTATTTGATAGACCCTGACTTGCCTCTGTGAATTTTTTTAATCTAGAACTTATAATTCTTTCAAGGACCTTAACTGCAGTGTCAGCATAAAGGTCTATAAGATGATGGCAGTTCTGTGGGCTTATTATTTTTAGGAATAAGCACCAATCTTTGCTTTTTCCAACACGAAGGGAAGATTCCTTACTGTAGGTAGCTGTTGTAAACATCCGTAAATATAGAAGCTTGTTTTTGTATTGCCTTCTTCAGTACAGTATTAGGGATTCCATTGAATCCATGAGATTTATTGGGCTTAACTCTGGAAGAAGCGGCTATGACTTCAGAATTTGTAACCGGGGGTATTTCATTTAAATCGGTGTTTATCGGTATTAAGATTCTAAGTTCTCCCTTTTTTGGAAACTTATGTTTCACGATATTCGCCATTATTTTAGGATATGAAGGTACCGAGCCTCTTAACCTCTTAAATTTACGCATTACTATTTTGTAGCGATCGCCCCAGACATTTTGGTCTACATCATTGATCAGAGTTTGAAAAGCTTGATTCTTACTCCTAATAATTGCCTTTTTAAGTTTAGATCTGCTCTCTCGGTATTTTTTCTAGAAGCTTTTCCGTATCTACTCCAGATCTGTGACGTTGGAATTGCCTACGGGAGGCAAAGTATTAAGATCTTAGTAAAGCTATTTCTTCCGTCCATCAATAGTTTGATGGGCGCCCATTGCTTCTGCCTTTTCTTGACATTGATGCATCACAGAAGTTGCATAATTCCTTCATAAGGTGATTTGATTTTTCAAAAGCATCCCCGTCTCCGAAACTCATGTTTTCGGTCATGAATTCCATTATCTCTGTGTCAAGATACTTAGTTTTCCAGCCTATTTGCTGTGCTTTTCTCTGCGATTTTTTCAAAACAAACTTCTCTTTCAGCGATATGGAAAAACGAATTGCATGGTGGTCGCTGTGGGTGTAGTGGTTTGTTACTTTTCATTGCGAACCCCTTACTAATGATGGGCTGACAAAGGTGAGATCTATGTAGGAAACGCCTCTACCATTATCGAACGTTGGGCTATGCCCATTGTTCAGTTGTATTAGGTTTAGTGAGGTAAACGTTTCTAATAGGGCTCTACCTCGGCGCGTCGTAGTACTACTGCCCCATTCGACTGCCCAAGCATTGAAATCCCCTGCAACAATGATGGGAGTTTTGTTTCTGATTGTTCCTGATAGCCTATCAAGAAACTCTTCAAATCTCTCTTGGGAGATATTTGGGGATATGTAACAGCTGCACACATAGATACCCCGGATTCTGACAAGTACTAGACCTTCTTTTTGTATCAATACGCTTGGTTCAAACACTATGTCCTGTCCTAGCCCAATGGCAGCCTTTGCAGAAGTATCTTGTACCCATTTGGAGGTTTCTTTTGATTTGTAAAACTCACTAATTACGAGTACATCTGTCTTTAATTCCAAAGCTGTTTGGGATAAAAGATCTTGGGCAGCTTCGCATCGATTTAGGTTCAATTGCTGAAATTTAATCATTTTTTGGACTTAAGCTCCTGCATAGCCTTCCTGTAGGATTCACATTTGCAACTTCTTGAGTAGTGTAGATTGCCACCGTTGCAGTTTTCCGGACATAGGATGCATTTTAGTTGAGCGGAGCACGTTTTTGCCCTGTGGCCATCTTGTCCACATCTCATACATGTGCTTGATCTGTCATTATCGCTTTTGCACTGTCTAGCAGCGTGTCCAAATTGAAGACATTTGAAGCAGCTCTTAGGTGTGATATGCTTTCTGATCCTACTGCGTACCCAGCCAACTCTGACTGAGGCAGCTGCGATCAGTACACTGGCATCCTTAGTAGGTAGGTCAATAATTGCTGACCTATTGTGCTGTCCCTTGCGGCACGCCAAAACTTGACGTTGATGTCACTTACATTTATTGCTGGAAATTGATCAGCAATCGCCGCGCGCACCTCTTCGTTGGATGTTATCTCGTCCAAATCCCTGCATTCTATTAGGGTGTGCTGTGTTAAAGATTTTTCACTAGCACAATTCTGAAGTGTGTTTTTCATTTCATTGCAGAAGTCCTTCGCTAAATTTCCAGCTTCTTTGGTAAGCTGAATCAATATGTCCCCCTCTTTAGTTTTTCGGATTTTGTTCACGTTTTTTCCGAATTCTTGTAGCTCTGGTTTTGTTTTAATGATCTTTAACATTTCAGCGTAAGACTTGTCTGCCGTCTTACTAATGAGAATTGCTTCCGGTCTTACTCTAGGCGCTTTAACGAGGTCCAGATTTGGCACAGTTTTCCCTTTTTTCTTTTGCACTAGCTGCTATTTGTGAAAATTCGTTCCCTGCTCCTTACTTCCAATTTCTCTAATTTGGACTTTGGGTGGTGGACCGTTCGGTTTCTCTTTCGCAGCACGCTTTAGTGCTCCCTGAGTTTGCACGCTAATGGAAGCTACACTCTTAGCCACCAACGGCACTTGTGGCCCCCTTTCTTGTTCCGTCTTAGACATCTTAACTATCTGTGCAAGCAGATCCCGCATATCCTTATTAATATGCCTTTGAGATTCCATCATCGCAGATAGTTGTAACAGCTTATCCTCTACGCTATCATCAGGCTTGGGGGATAAAGGTATTTCTAATACCTTCTTCTCCATTGTTTTTTGTACTGCGTTTTGTTTCCGCAGAGGTGATGTTTTTTGCCCACTCATACCTTTTCGATACCCTATTAATTTAATTAAATTTAATTAAATTAAAAGGGTGTCCTAAATTAATTAAATTAAAATAACTTAATACCTGTAAATTTCAAATGCTCAAAATTCCAAATTCAAGTAAAAATTAAAATTTGCTAATAAATTTAAAATTTGCTAATTAAATTAAAATATTCTGCTAAATTGCTAAATCTGTGTACAACATTACACGATTGTTTAGGTTTTTGTGTAACAATTGGTCTAATTATTTGATCGTTTTGTAACACTTATTCACTTTGTAATGTTTCTGTTTAATAATTTCAATTGTTGTCTCTATCAGCTGATTTTATATGTGTGCAATTATTTTGCAAAACAAAAAAGAGCACCAAATTTAAAATGAAATTTATAAAAAAAATAACACTTGTCGGCTGCAACTCTTTATCACTCCAAGTGAGTACATTATATTGCACCGCATTTAAGAACTTTTTGTTGCTACAACACTTCAATTGCAGGAAATATATACCGATCTAACGGACCGCACTCGAAAGGCGTGTATTCGCGGCAAAAAACAAATTTTAACCCCTCTACTATTTTATTATTTTTCTTGATATGTTTATTTTTTTTGCATTAAATTAAATTTCTAATGATATGCTTTCAATTAATTAAAATTTAGAAAATATATACAATGCTTTTTCTTAAGGAGAAGTTGTTCACAAGTAACACGTATTTGATCAAAACACTTTAAAAAAAAGGACATCAGATAATTTCACTAAATTAATAAAAATTACTTTGAAACGCAACTGGTTATTAACAATTGAATTTGTTAGATGTTATTCTTCGCAAATGTGCATTATTAAAAATAAAGATATTAATTGAAAGTTTCTAAATTCAGTAATACTGTTAACTGTTTCAACGTATTCGCACAAATTGAAACATGGAGTAGTGGAGAAAGAGTGCAATACTGAAGCGTTTCTCAGTAGAATAACGAAAAAAATAAGAATTATCAATTTTGGACTACTACAAAAAAGTTCATTTAATAGTAAATTACACATATGGATAACAAATTCTGTATATAGTAAGGTTAATTAAGCATTTTAATCTAGTTGTTTATTAGATAATTATAAGTGCTGACATAATATTAACTTTCAAATGCGACTGAAATATTTATTACAACTACATAAATTTATTTTATTATTTATAAAATGCAATAAAATATTTATTTTATTATTTTAAATTTAATTTCTTATCAAAAAATATTTCATTTTAATTATTTTTTTTATTAATTCTATGTCTATTTTATGATCCGAGCAAAACTCAGCAAAAAAATACTTTAAGCTCACTTACTAAATTTGAATTTAAAAATGTTACATCTTCGTACAAAAGTTGGGGTGAAATATACAAAAAACTAATATTTTAAGTTAAAATACAAATAAGGTACAAATAAATTCACATTATAAATACTTAACAAAACTAATTATTTTAAATAATATATGTCAATTTATGCAATTTTCAACATATGTTGCGATCCCAAAGAACGCAAATATCAATCCTTTCAAAAATTGCAGCAAAATAATATTTACCATTTCAAACAAAATTGTGAAATTCAAGCTAGATTTTGCAGTCTTGGGTGCAAACGAAAAATTGGGAACGCACATTTGTGTGCAA